AAGTGGGGTTTGTTGTCTCCCTGTTGCAGGGTGAACCCCAAGACTGGGCCCACCGACTAAGGGGAAACAATGACCCTCACCTGGTTACGGTCGACAGCTTCTTTAACGCTATGGCCATCCTATATGATGACCCACAACGGGCAGCCTCGGCCGAGGCCACACTATACGCACTCCGACAAGGTCGGTGGGCGGCTGAGGAATACGCCTCTGACTTTAGCGCTGGATGGGTGACACTCGTTGGAACGAGTTCGCACTTTTGCACCAGTTTCGTATGGGCCTATCAGAGGCTCTGAAAGACGAGCTCGCCCGGGTGGAGGTGCCCGAGACATTAGAGGACTTGATTGCACTCACCATCAAAATTGACCGTAGACTACGGGAGCGCAGATTGAGAGGTCTGGTCAGGGTCGCGGAAATCCCTGGGGGTCATTTCAGGGATCCAGTCAACATACTAGGCCAAGCATCCAGAACCTGCCGTTTGAAGATGCTCCTGAACCCATGCAGCTAGGCCTGGCTCGGCCTAAACTATCGCCTGAGGAACGCCAGCGCAGACGCTCCCAGAATCTGTGCCTGTACTGCGGCGAAGCTGGTCACATGGTGCGTTCCTGCCCGCAGAAACTGAGTAAGTTCACCTCATCTTCATTATCTGTTGGCAATATGAATCCGTCCCAGTACTTAGTTGTTCCCCTCTCCTTTCAGCTTTCAGAAAGGACCGTGGAGGTGACGGCCATAGTTGATTCGGGGGCATGCAGCTGTTTTGTGGATATCAATTTTGCTCACCAGCAGGGTATTCCCCTCCGCCCAAAGGAGAAGGGGTTTCACATTTTTTTGGCTGATGGTTCCCGGATAAAGTCAGGAGTAGTTAACCAGGAGACCCCTTCCATTGTGACTTCCATTGCCGGTCAGCACCGGGAACTCCTCCGCCTGGATGCTATTGCATCACCCCTTTTTCCCAGTCATTCTGGGGCTCCCTTGGTTGCGGGCCATAACCCCCAAATTGACTGGGAGACTGGGGTTGTTGTCTCGTTCCCTTCCCCATATTGTCGGGAACTGTGTCGAACTTCGGGCCCGGAGGTCCCCCAGGTCCTCCTGTGCTCTGAAGGGGATGACAGCCTAAAACAAGTGATTCCTGCAGCCTACCATAAGTTTCTTGATGTGTTCAGTGAACGGGGAGCAGATGCTCTACCCCCCCACCGCCCATATGACTGTCCTATTGATCTGTTGCCCGGTTCTGAAATTCCGTTCGGGCGAATTTTTCCCCTTTCTGAGCTAGAATTAGGGGCCCTGAAGGACTATATTGAGGATAGCCTCCGAAAGGGATTCATCCGTCCCTCCACTTCCCCAGCAGGTGCAGGGATCTTCTTTGTAGAAAAGAAGGACAAGACTTTGAGGCCATGCATTGACTATCGGGAGCTGAATAGGGTCACCATTAAAAATCGTTACCCATTACCACTGGTACCTGAATTATTCCAGAGCCTAAAAGCTGCAGTAGTGTTTACCAAGTTGGACTTAAGGGGAGCCTACAATTTGGTTCGCATAAGGGAGGGGGATGAGTGGAAGACGGCCTTCCGCACCCGTTTCGGCCATTTTGAATACCTAGTCATGCCTTTCGTGTTGTGCAATGCGCCAGCCACCTTCCAGCACTTTGTAAACGACATCTTTAGGGACTTCCTGGACATCTTTGTCATCGTCTACTTAGACGACATTTTGATTTTTTCATCCTCCCTGGGGGAGCACAGGGTACATGTAACAAAGGTGTTGGGGCGGTTGCGGCAGCACGGGTTGTACGCTAAAGCAGAGAAATGCTGCTTTGAACAGGCTAGCGTTATATTTCTGGGTCTGATTATCTCCACCACGGGGGTCGCGATGGACCCTCAGAAGGTCTCAGCGATCCTAGATTGGCCTGAACCCACGGACAGGAAAGGTGTCCAACGTTTTTATTGGGTTCGCAAATTTCTACCGGAAGTTCATCAAGAACTTCTCGGGTCTGGTCTCCCCCATCACTCAGTTAACCAAGCTTGGGACGCGATTCAGATGGACGCCCGAGGCACAGGAAGCTTTTGAAGCACTAAAAAGGTTATTTACCTCGGCACCCATTCTGGGTCATCCCGACGCCTCCCTGCCCTACATCTTAGAAGTAGATGCATCTGAAAACGCGGTTGGCTCCATCCTTTCCCAGCGGAAGGGCGCCAAGGAATTACTTCACCCAGTAGCATTCTTTTCACGGAAACTTACCCCTGCGGAGAGGAACTATGACATTGGGGATCGCGAGCTACTGGCTATCAAAACCGCCTTAGAGGAATGGAGGTACCTGCTGGAAGGTGCCTCCCATCCCATCCTGATATTCACGGACCACAAGAACCTGGAATATCTTAGGACGGCCAAACGTCTACGCCCACGACAAGCAAGATGGGCATTGTTTTTCTCGAGGTTCCAGTTCCACATCACATACAGGCCCGGCTCGAAAAACACGAAGCCTGACGCGTTGTCGCGCATGTACGAGGACACCAAGGAGATTCCAGTGCCCGACACTATTCTTCCTGCAGGAAATTTCTTGGCCCTTCAGACAAACCTTCGCTCCGAGATCCTGAGAGCGTCCACAGCAATGTCCACCCCCGATGGGGCCCCCCTCCAGAACAAGGAGGGACTCCTATGGAGGGAGGACCGGATTGTGGTGCCGGAGGATGCCCGAACCTTAGTCTTGGGACATTGCCATGACCATCCACTGGCAGGACATTTCGGGCCGGTCAAGACCCTGGAACTTCTCCGACGTTCCTTCTGGTGGCCGGACATGGCCAAGGATTGTAGGAACAAACGTGGGCTCCTGTGCCATCTGCCAGCGGAACAAGCCTTCAAGAAATAAGGCGTGGGGCCTGCTACGTCCATTGCCCATCCCTGAACGGCCCTGGCAGAAAATCTCCATGGACTTCATAGTCGAGCTTCCACCTTCACTGGACCACACAGCAATTCTCATGGTCGTGGACCGCTTGTCCAAGATGGCCCATTTCATCTTTACGGAAGACTCCATCAGCAGCCGAGACGGCGCAAGTCTTTATTCGAGAGATCGTTAGACTGCATGGGGTTCCCGAAGACATCGTCTCGGACCGAGGGGTGCAGTTTACCTCGCGGTTTTGGAGGGCATTGTGCAAAGCCCTGGATATCAAGCTGTCCCTTTCCTCGGCATTTCACCCTCAGACCAATGGCCAGACCGAAAGGACCAATCAGACCCTGGAGCAATACCTTCGATGCTACACATCATTCTCTCAGGACGACTGGGTGCCACTCCTCCCTTTGGCAGAATTCGCGTACAACAACGCTTGCCATTCAGCAACTGGGCAGTCCCCGTTCTTCGCCAACTATGGGTTTCATCCTGTCTTCCTCCCGGACTTGGTCCCGGAATGCCCGATTCCAGCGACACAGGATGCACTGACCTTCTTCACCTCCAACAATAGGAAACTACAGGAAGCCATCCGTCAAGCCCAAGAAGACTACAAGAGGGCTTTTAATAGGAAGCGAAGAGGGGATCTGGTGTTGCAGCCCGGAGAGAAGGTTTGGCTGGCTACGTCAAACTTGAGGATGCTCTGCCATCAAAGAAGTTGGGACCTAAATTTATAGGCCCTTTTTGCATCAAACGGATGGTCAATGAGGTGGCCTATGAACTTGTTCTCCCTGAGACACTCAAGATCCACCCTGTCTTCCACGTGTCCCTGTTGAAACCAGTAGTCCCTGATGCCTTCCCGGAACGGGAATCCAGGCCCCCGGAGGCCGTAACGGTTGAAGAGGAAAAAGAATTCAAGGTGGAGGCAATCTTGAAGTGCCGACGAAGGGGGGGCCAGACCCAATTTCTCATCAAGTGGAAGGGCTACGGCCCTGAGGACAATTCGTGGGAACCAGCCCATAATGTCCATGCACCTAGGCTTGTCCGGGGGTTTCTTTGTGATCACCCGTGGTTGAGAGATCGGGTGGGCATCCGGAGGTTGCCCGTAGGGGGGGGGGCAATGTCAGGGATCTCCTCGATCCCCGCCGCGATGGGCCCGGCGCAGGCGCACTGCTCCACCCAGTACACGGGCACTAGGTCCGGGCCGGCCGCGGCGTTCGAGTTGGGCAGTAGAAGCCGCGGCCCAATGGCAGCGCACCAGGGCGCAGGGGGATATTTAAAGGTCCCTGAGCTGTCATTTCGTTGCCTTCTGGTCTTACCTGCTTCCTGTGTTCCTGTACCTGTGCCTAGTAAGTTATTGACCCGGATTACTCTTGACCTTGCTGATTTCTCCTGCCCAGACCCTTGCTTGCCTGACCTCTCTCCCTGGATGCCCCTTATTAGATCTGACCTCCTGTTGCTGACCTGGCGTGTGACCCGACGATTTCTCTGCCTGCTCCCTTGTACCTTACCGTCCTCTACATTACCGACTCAGCCTGTCTGACTACGCACTTGCTCAGCCATCATCCATCCATCCCATCGGGGTCACCCGACCTCCTCACATCTGGCTCTCCCTGGTTGGAACCCCTGGCGAACACCACTACCACTGACTGGTGTGCTCAGTAGAGGCGACCTGGTCTCGGGGTACTACAAGTCCATCCCCACCATCAGGGGCCCTGGTGAACAAGTACCCTGGGGCTTAGACTCCGCACTCTGGGCACGCCTGACCAGTGGAGTGCTAGTGGTGCCGCTCGGCGGTCCCTCACAGCTTGATTTTATACACCTGTGGCCATGGAGGTGATTGGAACACCTGAATCCAGTGATTTGGAGATGTGTCCCAATACTTTTGGCAAAATAGTGTACTTTAAATGATTAGAAGCGAATAATAAAATTTTGATACTCCTTTCTAGCTGATAAATTTGCAAATGTATGGGTACCTTAACCTCCCTGGCGGTATTCCCGAGTGTAGCTTGGGGTAAAATTTCAGTACCACAAGCGGTATTCCCCAGCTACACTCGGGTTTACCATGCAGCGTTGCTCAGGGATTCCCTGCAGCACTTACCTTGTCCTTCTCTCCCGCGAAACGTCCCCTGCAGCGTCCCCAGCCATCTCCTCCGGCCGATGCCGGCATCCAGCTTCCGTGTTCCGATCCCTGCGAACGTCAGGACGTACAGGACGTAAGAGGGCCGGCAGCAAATTTTTACATTTTCGAAACTGTCATTTTCTAATAAATGAATATGACATAGTAAAACATTACTGTTTCAAAGCATTTCACATACATTTTGTCCCTACTGCTTTGTCCTGTGCCCTGCCTGCCTTTTCACTGTTCTTTCTGTCTGGAAATTTAGAAATGTCCATGGCGTCCAAAAAGCATAGCTTTAGGTCAAAAGCGGTTTTTAGACCAGCTACAGAACAGCGATAGTAAATCAGAACCACTTGCAGAATTGAGTGATAATGATTCGTGGGGAAATTCGTCATCAGACACTGAAAACGATTCTGCGACTTTGCTCAGCGATGTGCGAACTTGGCTCTATATTTCAAATTTCAGTGTTTTTGGTTTGATTATATTATTGAATTGAATTTATTATTATTATATTATTTTTTATGATTATTTATTAAATTATAATTTATGATTTCCTGTTTCAAGTTTTATCCTAATGTTTACTAGACTCTTGTTCGGACAGATTTCAGTGAGTTATTCCTAAATTACAGACCTACAATATAAAACACCAAATTTCCATGCAAAATAATGGTACCGCTTTCAGCACCAAAAATCTGAAATAATCATACCGCCAAGGAGGTTAAGACTGGTCATAGGTGGCTCAGTAGAAACAAGAGATGTTCTGAATATTCAACATTACATACCATTACATACCATACTGCCTGTGGCAGTCATAAGTGTTTTTAAACATGTAAGGGGATTTTTAATTTTCTTGGAAATTCTCCCATAGAGTCTTTATTTTCCTCCTTTATAGAAGAGAACAAAATATATAAAATACTATGTATGTATCACTGTCAGCTTCAGGTAAAGTTTGCTGTGACCACTGGGGAAGATGATAAGCTGGGAGGATTTACTGAAGGCAAATAAGCAGTTCAATTTGCAAGGGAGCTGGCATTTTTCAAGGGAATTTTACCCAGAGCTTAGTGAAATTACACTTTGCCAATAATACCCAATCACGTGCAGGGAAAAAAAAAAACAAAATTTTTGCTTTCACATGACTGGATGATGGAACTCAGCAGAGCGTCACCTCATGCACTAAGCTCCAGGGAAACTTCCCTTGCAATGTGCAGCTCCCCTTGCAAAGTGAACAGGCTATATGCCTTTAGTAAAGCAACCCCAACTTTCAATCTCTATACATCCTTCGAGGGGAGATATCTGCTCTCGTATAGCCAGCGAAACTCCTGCTAAATATATTACAAATTGTACCTTTTAATTTATAATAAATACAATAAGCTATTCATTTGTTCATGTCTTCATTCATTTGTAAATTGCTTGCCTTGTTAAGATATATTGTTCTTTTAGACAGTTCTGCACTTTGAATAGATACCAGACTTGACTACCAATACAAGAAAAGTAGATTGAAATTCTGAACAAATTTCAGCTGATTGAAGAAACCCAGAGGCAAAGAAATGTAATGAGCAAAGCGACTTGACAAAAGGCGCAGTATACAATTTGTCTGACTTTGGATCAATATTGAAGAAAGTGTTAAGAATACATATGTATAGGAGCAGAACACTACGTATAGAAAAGGACCATACTTTACAGAAGAGCCTGGGTATTGTATGTGGCTTGCACATACACCAATCAGCCATAACGTTATGACCACTTACAGGTTAAGTGAATACCATTGATTATCTCTTACAATAGAATCTGAAATTCAGTGGAAAGTATTAGGCAGCAAGTAAACATGTTGTCCCTGAAATTGATATGTTAAAAGCAGAATAAAATTAGCATTGCACTTTGTTGTGTATCTATAATGGGAACACGAGCATCAGAACTGGACCATGGAGCACTGAAAGAATGTGGGCTGGCCCAGTGAATCACATTTTCTTTTACATTATATGAATGTCCGGGTGCGTGTATGTTGTCTACCTGGGGAAAAAATTGTACCGGGATGTTTTATGAGAAGAAAGCAAGCCGGCGGAGGCAGCGTGATGCTTTTGGCAATGTTCTACTGGAAAACCTTGGGTCCTGTCATTCATGTAGGTGTTACTTTGACACGTTGCAGATACCTAAGCATTGTGGCTGACCAAGTACACCCCATCATGAAGATGGTATTCCCTGAGTATTCAGCTCTGTGTATACAAAGGAGCATGGGGGAGCTCTTGTCCATAATGGGCGTGGTATTGACACAGCCCCAGATGATCCACATTGGATCACAATATGATTCAGAAATATTTAGACACAATAAAGGGGCATAAAACACCTGGACCAGATGACATATACTCTCGGGTCCTTAAAGAATTGAGCTCTGTCATTCAAAGCCATTGTTTCCAGTTTTTAGGGACTCTTTAATGACTAGCATAGTACCACTGGATTGGTGTAAGGCCAATGTGGTGGTGCCTATTTTTAAAAAAAGATCAAAATCTTTACCAAGTAATTATAGACCTGTTAGTTTAACTTCTATAGCTGGGAAGATACTGGAGAGCTTAATAAAAGACCGCATAGATGAGTTCTTGCTGGAAAAAAAAAAAATATTTTAAGCAACGGACGGCATGGATTCATGAAAGACAGAAGTTGTCAAAAAATCTGCTTTCTTTTTATGAGGAGGTGATCAAAACCTTAGACAGAGGAGTGGCGGTGGACGTGGTATACTTGGATTTTGCATAAGAGTTTTAACACAGTTCCCCACACACGGCTAATGTGTAAGGTAAAGTCTACGGGTTTGGAAAAATCTGTATGTAAATGGATAGAGAACTGGCTAAAAGATCATATTCATAGAGTAGTGGTTAATGATTCATACTCTGAATGGTCTAGGGTTGTCAGTGGTGTACCCCAAGGTTCAATGTTGGGACCGTTACTTTTTAAAATATTTATAAATGATATAGGGTCTGGGATTATAAATACCGTTTCAGTCTTTGCAGATGACACCAAGCTGTGCAGTGGAATAACGTCCCTACAGGATGTCTCCAACTTACAACCGACCTCAATGCACTGTTTAATTGGGCAACTATGTGGCAAATGAGGTTAATTTTGATAAATGTAAGGTTATGCACTTGGGGGCTAAGCATGCATCATACATACTAGGGGGAGTACAACTGGGGGAATCAATGGTGGAGAAGGATCTGGGAGCTCTGGTATATCACAAGCTTAATAATGGCATGCAATGCCAAGCTGTGGTTTCTAAAGTGAGCAAAATACTTTCTTGTATTAAAAGAAGTATAGACTCCAGAGAGAGAGTGATATAATTTTACCCCTGTACAAAGCATTAGTAACACCTCATCTGGAATATCAATTTTTGGCACCAATTCACAAAAAGAAAATTGGGGAACTGGAGAAAGTGCAGAGAAGGGTAACCAAACTGATAAGAGGCATGGAGGAGCTCAGCTATGAGGAAAGATTAGAGGAACTGAATTTATCCTCTCTTGAGAAGAGGAGATTAAGGGGGATATTTATTATTTTATTACAGGTACTTATATAATGCCATCAATCTATGCAGCACTTTACATATATAGTACATTCACATCAGTCCCTAACCCTCAAGGGGTGTACGATCTAAGGTCCCTAACTCACATTCATACATACATATACTAGGGCCAATTTAGACAGGATCCAAGTAACCTATCAGCATGTCTTTGGAGTGTGGGAAGAAACCGGTGTACCCTGAGGAAACCCACGAAGGCACAGGGAGAACATGCAAACTCCAGGCTGGTAGTGGTGTGGTTAGGATTTGAACCAGCAACCCTAGTACTGCCGGGTGGAAGTGCTAACCCTTTAGTCACTGTGCTGCCCAATGTATAATGTATAAATACATCAGTGGTTCATATAGTGAACTCAGTGTAGAATTAGTCACTCTGAGGTTATCACAGAGAACAAGGGGGCACTCTTTACGCCTGGAGAAAAAGAGATTTAATCTCCAAATACAGAAAGATTTCTTCACAGGGAATATCCGATTGCCTCTCGGGGGATCAGGAAGGAATTTTTTCCCCTGCAGGAGCAAATTGTATCATGCTTTGCTGGTTATTTTTACATTCCTCTGGATAACCTGTGGGTATAGGATTATAACTTTCATTTTTTTTTTTGGTTGAACTGGATGGACTTTTATCTTTTTTTCAGCCAGACTACTTATGTAACTATGATGGCTGTGGTCTCTTTCAGCAGGATAATGCTTTTCACAAAGAAATGTAAATGCAGCTTAAGGCGGGCCATAGATGGAGCCTACTCGCAGTTGCAAGAAAGAAATTTCGGTTTTCCCATCAACACAGTGTTGACAGGGAAATCGCTTCCACTGAGCCATTCCCACCAGGAGAAAACAGTAATTATTGGTAGCGGTTATAATAGCCACTAGCAATAATCGTATGTAAAATCCGGTAGGCTGCTTGTACCCAAGTTTATCAATTGATCAACTTAGATACATTTAGCCTGCCCACACATGGTTCAAATATTGGCCGGTTCCTGCTGAATCTGCAGAGATTCAAACAGTCAATTACCATGTTAAGGGTGTAATAGATTAAATGGGTTATGAAAGCTCCTGCCAGCTATCCTGGACCTGTTAAAGCAGCCCCTAACTAGTCTCAATAATTTAGCCACTGCCAGCCACAGATACAGTCCATCCGTGACACTGATTTTGTCTTTAATATTGGTGCTAGTGGCATCTTATGGCAATTTTTGCAAATGAAAAGAAATTTAGCAGTCTCATGATTTGTTGATTTAATATTTTCTACTGTTTTTTTTAAAAAACATTATTATTATTTTTTTTTGGAGGGGCACAAGTAGCTGGTCTTGCCTAGGGAGAAAAACAGTCTACCAGCGGCCCTGCTTCCTATTATACAAGAATTATTTCTTTAACATGGCCATGGATCTGTCACATTTTGATCACAAAGTGAGCTGGGATGGAAGGCATTCTAAACATGCCTCATGTAATTGATCAATACCATGTTCAAGGACAAGCTGTCATGAGAGAAAAATTAGCATCTGTCACTGCTGACCTTCTTCTGAAAATACTAGTTGTCTGGCTGTCATATGGACCCTCTGTCACCCCGACTTAACTCTAACATCAGCAGCTGAATGCCTTTTCTGGGTCGTTGTTCACGCACACAGGTTGTCGGGTTAATTACAGTGTATACTCACAATATTCTGTAGTGATATACTATCCTTGATAATTAAAGAAATGAAAGGATAGTTTTATACAACAAGAAAAGATGTAAAGATAGCAGTATTGCTAAGCTATGTAATGTCTTTACGTGAAGGTTATTCCAATAAAATATAATACTTGCAAATAAATTAA